GGCGATTTAGCCTTTTACCATCCAACCTGACAAAATTGCCAGCGATGCCCCCTTAATTCCAGATATAATTATGTAATGAACCGAAGACAGAGCAGGACTCTATAGAATTACAATTAAAATCTCTCAAGGTTTCCGGATGACTTAAATTTATACGGTAGCGTTCAATGGCGATTTAGTCTTTTACCATCCAACCTGACAAAATTGCCAGTGATCTCCCCTTAAGTCCAGATATAATTATGCAATCATGTGAAGACAGAGCAGGACTCTATAGAATTAAAATAAAAATCTCTCAAGGTTTCCGGATGACTTAAATTTATGCGGTAGTATTCAATGGTCGAATAGTCATTAAAATGATAACGTTCAAAAGATTGTTTACCTTTCGTTCTTGTTACAAATTTCAGATGAAAATGTTAATTAGCAACATATGTGGTACATATCCTTTTATAAAGCCTGAAAGAAATTTATTTTATGGGAACGGGTGCTTGCCAGTTAAATGACGTCTCGCCTCAGGCTGTTGGCACGCTTATCAGCGAGCCTGATCCAACGGCTTTGGTCGCAATTAAATGCAATCACAGTGGACTTCTACGGAGGAATTATCAGATTAATTTCGCCGCGAGAAGAGAAATTAAATGAATTCCTTTTGATTGTGTCAAATACAAAGAAAGGCAATATGAACTTAAAATTGAGAAACGTATTCCCTTATCATTACACTTCACATTAAAAATTTCAACCTCTACTTAAATAAAATTAAAATTAAAAATTCTTGTGAAAAATCGTGCGAGAAATTACCAAATCAATTTGAAACTCATTTTAATTTAGACAATTCCAAAATAATACTTACTGTAACGGTCGCATTATGACACTTGCAATTTTTGTCTTCCTGGCTTTCCATGTATAAATTTATACATGAAACAGTCACAACTAAATAAATCAGAAGCTTCAAAGCGAAAACTAAGCAAATAGGAAATAATCTACAGAAACGTGATGAATGGAGGCTCCAGAGCCTCGACTAGGGTTGATCACGCGTCAAGGAACAGGATCGCGCGTGGTTCTGTCAACAACTCTGAAACTCTGAACACTCCGTAAACACACAAAGTATCTGAAACAACCGCTTGGGAGGGAGTTGAGAAAAAGAGAGAGGGATTCCTCCGGCATCGGTTGATCCGGCCGACTCCAGAAGCGCAGCTGTCGCAGACAGCCGCACGATTCTTGGCCGTCGCGGTTCTCGGCCAGTTTGCGTGCTGAGCGTGCCGCGCACGGTCGGTTCCTTCTGTGACTCTTGTCCTCGACAAGCCTAGATCGAGATCACGATACACCCGTACCCGATCCACTGCGTGGTCTATCAGGTGCCCACTGAAATTGCGAACCTGGAATCATTCGACAGTTCTGCAAAGTTCACTTTTGACTCGACAGTGTTGCAACTGTGCGATACATCTTCATTCAAGAAATACAATTTCATGCTGTTGATAGGAGTCAAAGATTACCAGGGAGATTTGGCTTCAATAGTGTTCAAATCCTATTGATAGAGACATGAAAAGTCCGCGTGAATTATCGCCTGGAATTACTTCACCTTTGACGGGTTCTTTTATAATTCCTAATTGAACGGTGCTCCAACTGTGCAAGAGGATTTCCCAACGTTGAAAAACTATTTCGTACTGCATAGAATTGATAGTAATCAAGAACCACTGGCAACTCGGCTTCGATAGTGTTCGAAACAACAATGTTGTTGAAGGAGCCCAAGTATAAAAGACCCACGTGAATAATTCCACCTTCGACAATTCTCTTCTACCTCTTAACTCAACGATGCTTCGAACTGTGTATAATACAACTTTCCAACATTCAAAGACTATCTCGCTTAATAACAACCAAAATCCCTGGTAATTCAACTTCAACAGTGTTCAAAAGAAAATCTTGCTGAAAGACTCCAATCACGAAATCCATCTCGATATCCACGGGAATTCTACTCTCGTCTACGACATAGATGCCACTATTTGTTCTCAACGAGTAAGATGGACCCTACAAGCCTCGATCACCGTGGATCGGTCTGGAAGGTCCCGGGATCGATGATTCACCGGCTGCAACCGAACGCGAACACGTAATCCGAATGTCGTTATTTAATTCACCGTTCTCGCCGCTAAAGGACCAGCAGGGATCCCCGGTGGAAAGGAAATGGAAGAGACAGAGGAGACAGAGGAAGCAGAGAAACGACGACGAAGACGGCGAAGACGACGAAGAAGAGGACGCGACGTTGAAGGACGCCTCGAGGACTGAGAGATAATGGCTGCCACTCGCGAGCAAGCAATATCGAAATCCTCAAACTGTTCCGTGAATCTAGGTGCTAATAGCATCATCGAAAACGGCGACGATCCAGTGGAACACCGAAGAGTTCGTAAAATGGGAAGATTCACCGTGGAGAACTGCAAAGTCTCGAACGACGACGCGCGCTGGCAGGATTCCGTACGAAGCACAATGGGGAAAAAGAAGTCGCTCATCCAGCGAGATAAGACGTCCAGACCCGTCGAGCCTGCTGACCAGCTGAAAAGTTTCCACGCGCAGCCCCAAGATCGCGATACCCCGCAAGGGTACTTGAAGTTTCGCTCGCCAAAAAGCCTCAGCGTCGAGCTCGACGAAACCCAGAGGAAACAAGACTCGTGGACTCCCGAGAGCATCTCCGTGAGGGCTATCTATAAATTAGCCAGCTCGAGGGAGACGAACAATGGGGATCGGCGCGAGGATTCGCCGCGTGCTAGCGCGCACGCAGCTCGGAATAGCGCCGGTCCGATCGTCGATAATGGCGACGGTCTTGCCGGAGGCTGCTCTCCGACGGAAGTACCTCGTAAACTCGAGGATTCCCTTAAAGACTCCTCCAAGCCAGCCGTAAAGAGACAGGACGTCGCGGATATGACGCCTCGGCCTTCGTCCGTGAACCTGGTCCCCAGGATCGAATCCTCGAACGACGCGACGTCCATTCGCAGACCCAGGTGGCAGATCAGCCAGGCCAAGTGCGAGAATTGCGGCGAGCCGGATTTCTCGCGGGAGAGGCAACCTTATCTGCGCAAGTACCGCGGTTATCTCGACGGCGAGGGGCTGGTGCACGAGGAAGCGAACGGACACGGGGTCGGCAGCCCCGTGCCCCTCTACCGCAGCAGGTCGTTGCCGCGGTTGTCGGTGCACGACAGCGGCGTCGCGTGCAGCGGAAACGAGCATACACCCGTCGCGGGTCAGACGCACAACGCCAAGCAGTTGGTGGCCGATTTCAAGCAGCTGCACACGCTCAAGCAGCATTACTATCCCGAGGGAGGCTGGGGATGGGTCGTGCTGGTCGTTGGGGTGCTGGTCCAGGTCCTGTCGCACGGAATCCACGGCGCCGGCGGCGTCGTCCTGCAGCAGGTGGCTGAGATGTTCGGCCAACATGCGTACAGGGAATCAGGTTAGTCGGAGGTACGGGGGGTGATTAGTCTAATCAGCGAAATCAGAGATCTTCGGGTTTAAGATGGAATTGCCGGGGTGTAAGAATGGTTCTTAAGAGGGTACTGAAATTAAATTGTTTTGAGGCGGATTTCATGATTCTTTCGTAGTTAGCGTAATTTATGTATGCTTTTGACATTTAGTATAGGTATTTGGTTATCGTATGGTTGATATTGCTGGTATTTGAGTGAATTTGTTATTCGTGTTTGTAAAGAATCTATGATTTTCTTTATCATTTAGCTCAGTTTGATTGTTGTATGGTTGGTATTTGAGAGAATTAGTTATTTGTGTGGTAAAGAATCTATGATTATTTTTATCATATAGTTCAGTAGAATGTATTTAACGAAGACAAACATTTACTCGTATATAAATTTGGAACACGTACGTGAAAAATTTTGTTGAACTTGCAACCGTCAATTCGTTTCGAAGTTACACACAAAAATTGAGCAATTGAAACAAATGTACGAATCAAATTTGATCTACAAGTATCTGTGAATAATTCCACGATCTTTACTGATCTGAATTGTACCGAACTCAGAAAATCTGGTCTACAAGGGGTTCAATGATATCCTGATTAACTTCATCATAAATGTTTACCGCGTAAAACTCAGCTCCACAATTACAAAACCATAACTTGCGACCAGAAGTTCTCGCCATCTACCCTATCGTACGACGCGTAAAGGATCAATGAGATACGCAGGATGTCGCGAAACTGAAGTAAAACAAGCATTAAATAAAAAGGAGGACTACTCGAGGAGTCGTTCCTCGTTCGAGAAGCGAAATAAGAAGAATCGTCATTTGTTTTTATTGGAGCCGATAGACTTTTATCTGTTCCAATGGGACCAACGTCTCCAACTCTTGAACAGAAAGTTCCACGGGCGTGGGAACTGTCGATGAAATTAAAGCGCGTCAGCTGGCCGACGTCTGCGTGAAACGAGGGTGAAATCGTGATGCATCTTTCACCTCGTTGCCGGCGCGCAACACGCTTTGTCCGCGCGACAGTTTCTCGTTTGTCGCGCGCGGAACGCAGAGGGGCTCGTGTGTGTATTGTGCTTTGGCGGTTGGCCAACTGCCGCGAGTGTCGCCAAGTATACTTAACAGCTGCCGCTAATAAACGGGTTATGAATCGCGCTAATTGCGCGCGACACGTTCTCACCGCTCGTTTAATTCTCCGAGGAGCCAAGAAGAGGACGCGCTCGAACGCCGTTACTTGGCGAGCGTGACGCGCTTGCAGGCTTAGGGTTGTCGAGTGTGAGCAAACTGGCAATTTTCGTACTCGTTGAAGGACGACTGTAAAGAAACGTTCGAATACTTATTTTTAACAGAATACTAATCATTAATAGTTTTATTGTCAGAATGAAATAAGAAGAAAAATGAATGTAGATAGATAATGTAGAGAATTTTTGTTAACAGTTATTTTTAAGGCGTATGGTATAGAATCTTAATTAGTGTTTAGAATACACTACTGCTTTTTATACATTGTCGACGGAGCTTACGCCAGAAGGAAACCACTGGGAAAACCTATACAGGCTTCCGATGGCGCTAGCCGAGTCTAATAATCCTTAGGAAATATTCGCAATTCTAAGGCGATGGCGCGCGGTCCCCTGGTGTTTCTCACACGTGGCCCAGTTATCTCTCGTAACGGAAGCACGCGTTCTCTTATCGAAACACCACCAGTCAAATCGAACTTGGAAAACAGGCTACTATTCAATTATCATAAAATCGACCGATGCACTTCTTTTTTCTCGAAAGGCTTCCAAACATACACTTTAGTGTAAAGTAAAAGTGTCTTTAATACTCTCATCGTGAACAAGATTGCACTATTCAAAAGGATAAATAGCAAACAAATTTCAACTACCCCATACACTTTAGTGTAAAGTAAAAGTGTCTTTAATACTCTCATCGTGAACAAGATTGCACTATTCAAAAGGATAAATAGCAAACAAATTTCAACTACCCCATACCTTTGAGCTTTATAATTCTCAGAATCATTTGTGATCAATTCACTTAGAAATACCTTAATATTAAAATACTTCAATAAGTATATTTATACTTAATTTCATCTCAATAACTATTTTTAGTAAGAATATTTCTGATCAAAGTGAAATACTGCAGGATTTTTCCTACTGTACAATATGCAACCTTTTACTTTCTCTGTGAGCTCGCAAACTCACTAATACATTACCAGAGTTTGGATTGAGAAACGCTGACCTAGACGGATCTAGAGATCGCTGATCTCGTTTCCGTTCGAGAAAGCGGTCCTTACACTCGACGATCGTGCACACACGTTAAAACAGGTGCTCTGTAAAGAGCCATAGGTCCACTCACCGCTCAGGTGGGCTTCCTCTCTTAAGACCGACCGGAGCACTCCCAGATCGTGCGGATTGGGAGCAGAAATCGACGATCGATTAGCAAATTCACGCCTCGACGTGAGTTCTTCGTGAACGTTCCATCCTGGCAGAAAAATTAGATCTTGGAAGATCGATGACAAAACTTATGAAACGATTTGGTCAGTTCTCTCACTGTTTGGCTCTTCTGGGCTGGCGCCTGAGACCTCCTTGTACGAAAATACATTATTACATACAATATTTCATACATTGCAACCGTTTATGCAAAGGAGGTGACGTGATTTTCATTTCAGAGGTGTTGAGGTTTGGAAATTGATAGTGGATGCTGATGGAATATTGATGTTTTGGAGCATTTCACTTTTGGTCGAGTGTTTGGAGAAACTAACGCATTTCGATCTTTTTCCTTTTTGGATGAAGAGTACAATCAAAAGCTAACAGTAGCTATGACACTCGACACAACACTGTCGCGCTATCTCTTGTTATTCGTTCTGGCACACGAGAAGCTGCGGCTCTGCATTCTGGAGATACAGGAGAGGCAGTGATATAATTTAGGCGCATTTACCTAGACCGAGCAAAACGAAGCTAGATATAATTGAGTCAAGTTACCTTAAAGCTGACAGAGTCAACAAGCCTCTAATTTGCGAGGGCTGCAAGGTTAGTTCGCTCTGCAACTGGATTAAAAGGTAACATACGATCCACCCTTGGTTTCACGAAGTGTCTCCCTATGTAGGCGTCTGCCACTGCTCGAGAATTCGCTTCTGGTTAAGAGTGGGACTCGTCGACTTGTTCGATATTCAAAAACGGACTATTCGAATTCTAATAATGGATTAGTCATACTTGGGGGCACTTGGATAATAATAGTCAATTACTGATACTCTAAGAATATTAGAGTAGCAATACTGGAAAAGTGCTACTCTACTATTGTCACTTGAATAGTAATATTCAAATAATGAAATTCAAATAGTCACACTTAAATAACGATGTTCGTATAATAATATTCGAAGAATCATATCGAAATAGTAATACTGGAATAGTGCTAATCGACTATTATCACTTGAATAGTAATATTCAAATAATGAAATTCAAATAGTCATACTTGAATAATGATATTCGACTAAGAATATTCGAACAGGTTCATTTGAATAATAAAGTTTCAACTGCGATATTCGAGTAGTAATACTTGAATAGTAATATGTGAATTGTAATACTTGAATGCTCGGAGCGGTAATAGTAACTTTGCATAAATCACCGAAGGAGAGAAACTCGGGACGAAAGCGACGAAAATTTTTCGAGATCGTCCTGTCGCGAGATACGACGTCCGCCGTAGTTTTTATTTTCCTTCGGCCTCTCTTTCCGTTCCCCCTCATTTTTTTGTTCCACGTCGAAATTCCCGTTTGCCGAGGACGCGGCTTTCGTTCAGACGCCTCCTGGGGAAGTTTTCGTTCGGGGCGAGGATTATTGTAACAGCGTAGATAAAGAAACGTGGCTTGCGCAGGAGAAAAGGGAATCCCGGGTAAGAGGATTCCGGTATCAGCGACGATGGAACCACGCTCGTTTCGCGGATGTTAACAATCGGACGGGAATACCTTGGATCTCGTGGAATAACCACCCCTCGTATCGGTTACGAATTTTTTTTTTTCTTCTTTCCACGGTTCTTGGCGACCCTGGTACGGATATTGCGGATGGCGCGACTCGATTCAAGCGAAACCAACGAAATCCTCTCGAGAAATCTTTAATGGACTATAATCCAAATTATTTTTGGCTAGTGGATAAAATTCATCGTACGTTATGCTCCATTTAAGATAGTTGAGAGTATATCTGTGGCGTTCGGTCGATAGGGCTAGAGTAAAGGTTACATCTTCCTGGAAATAAATAAGTAAATTAACTCGATTGTTCGACACCTTAGGAAGAAAATAGCAAATTTGTGTTCTTCGACCTAAAAATACACTGTATATATTAGGGTGGTCCTTATTTGACGACCTTATTCCTCAGAATGACTCTGACACATAAAAAGAATACTTCCTGCACTATATAAGGTAGATCGGATAAGGGGGAATGGTGTAATAAAATTGTCCATCTACCTGACCATTATTTTATTTTTATCTACTGGCGTGTAGTCGAGCTTTTACAACCCTTCAAACGAGGGGTGCGTGGGAGCCGCGCGTAAATTTAGTTTCAAGCTGTTATTTAATTTTATACTTCGTTTTCATTTAATTTCACATCCACTGACGATGGTGGAGGAGATAACAAAAATTTGAAATAAGAATTTGAGCATTCGGAGCCAAAGACAACACTCTGAAATAAATTAAAAATAAAAAGATCAGCTAATTGACAAGTTTTGTGAGATTTCTAATTCCTCTTCTGTTATTTTTCTAACTCTCCAAAGAATCTGTTCTGTGGCAGACGAAACATTGAACATGTCTTTGAGTTTACAACCGGTCCGACTTATTTTCGGTTCCGCGCTACTTTCACGGTCGAAATAATTGGCCCATTTTGTCCCCGTTACGTCGCGGCGTTCCTTGCACGGTGCACGGTGTCGTTATTGTCAATCGTAAATATCGACAGCGACGAAAAGTAGCGTCGAGACGTCGTCGATCGAATTTGTTAGAAATAA